TGCTACCACAGCCATGCGACAGAACACTAGTCAGCCCTAAAAAGGAATGCAGTTCTAATACATGGATGAATGCTGAAAAGACCGTATTAAGGAAAAGAAGTTGGATACAGTGGGTGTCATAAGGTGGGATTCCACTTCCTTGTATGTCCAGAATAAGCAAATCCACAGTGACCAACACAGACTGGTCGCAGCCAGTGGCTCGGGAGAGGGGATGGCTGTCACAGCAGAAGGTTTCTTTTCGGGGTGAAAAAAAATGTTACAGAATTAGTGGCGATTTTGTTACTATACTATTCTTAATGTACTTGTTTTTATTCTAATTAGTGTTAGTAGTCAATAAAAGCTTATTGACTGGGGGAGAGGTAGATCCAGATGCACTAGGTAGGAATTTCCAGTACATGTTTTGTAAGAGCATCATCCCCCCTACTCTGAGGGTAGGGATGGCCTCTCATACACTTCCCTTAATGTCTGGTATGTAAACAACCCAGACTCACTCAAGGTTCACTAAGTAAATTAATTAATAACCATATTTTACATATCAGAGACCTCAAACAATACACTAACTAGAAAACTCATTGTCTGTGCCCCCAGAATTCTGAATGACCACTGACAAGGCCCTTCCATTAACCTGACATCTACACAGTCTATTTGTAAGGCTCTTACCACCACATACCACCCAGAGGACCCACTTCTAACTTTCCTGACATTTTTTAAACCCAGTTCAAATTCTCCATCTTCTGTCTATCACTGAATGACACTTGCTGGTCTGTGCTTTCTCCGGCTTTAACCACACTCCCTGACCTAGAAATGTTTCATACACTTAGCCTCATTTGTTTTTCCAAATACCCATAAAGCCCCCAAAGCCAAAAAGGACCACCCGCTCCTATTACAAGTAGGGGGAACTGTTATCTAAGGTTATCCAGTCTCTTGTAAAGATGAGTTCATCTTTACAAATGTCACATAATGGCTACAATTTTTCTCTTTGGATAAACAGAGAGCTTCCTCATAAATTAGATGTTTAAAGGGTAACTATAAATAAAAAGATGTAAGATCAAAGAAAAACAAAACACTAAAGCCTAAAGTCCAGAGTGAGTGGAGCACTGTGCAGAGACTAATAAAAAGAGCTCACACAGATGAGCGGGGCAAAGGCCTGCAGCTTAGGGAAGATGCTCCCAGGACCGCACAGGCTTCCTTAAAGGAGCATGCTCTGCGCTTAGGACTCTGACGAAGGGGCGAACACCCAAGGGAAGTGGCATGCACCCTGAACAGCCGCAGAACATAGAGCCCACTCCAAAATACATTTCCTGGGCAAACCAACTGTGCTCAGTGATACTGAGAAAAACTTTCAGACCATGCTTTAAAAATACTGCTAAATATTTACATTATCTTGATAAGAAGCCAGAAGACCAGAAATTAAAGAACACACCCTCTGTTTAAAAAAGAAAGGGGGGTCACATAGATACAGAAAATTGTCTATGGGTAAACTTGTGACCCAGATGCTGGAATTTTCTAGAATGGGGGGGGGCATTCAAATTCCTTATGAAAGCATGTTCTACATATAGGGCATTTGCTTCTCCACTAGAATGGAAAAATGGAGAAGGGCACAGTCTAACAAGATGGGAAATGTTGAACACCAAAAGCTTGAAAATCTATTGAACTCACAAAGGGATGCACAGCTTGAAAGTTGGGTTAACTAACACTCAAGAAACTTCCAGTAAAACCCTGCAGGACCCCATCCTTCCCATAATCTATACAACTTCTTTTGATTAAAAAAAAAAAAACCATAGACTCATCTTCATATTTACAAATGCCACAAAGCTCTGAGTAACCCAGCACACACACACACAGCCTGACAGACTCAGACTCCATTAAAGATTACATAAGTCTGAAATAATGGACCAAAGAAAAACAACAGGGAGTCCATGGCCAGTATTCAGATTTTAAAGCTCAAATCCATCCTGGGTTAACTTCAGTTTACATGATAACACCAGGGTGTGCAATCTCAAGCTGTATTAACACATATGTATAGTGTGCCCATACTAGATTGCTACAGTTCTCAAATTTGTCAACTAACATGTGCATTTCCCTTGTGAATCTTTTCTTCATCCCAGACAGTTGTAACAAAAATCTGCCAATGTGTACTAGAGAGATGGCCCAGGCATTAGGAGAACTTGCTGCTCTTGCAGAAGACCTGAGTTCAGTTCCCAGCACCCACATGGTGGATAGCTCAGTTGAGGGGAATCATCTTCTCCTGCCCTCTTCTGGCCTCTGCAGGGTCTGCATGCATGTAATGTACATACATGCAGGTAAAACATATAAAATAAAAATAAAATATTGGTTCATTAAAAAAGAATCTGCATATATCATTTAGTTAAACTAGTTTTAGATCTAGAATTATTATTAAAGTATACATTGTCCCTTGAAAACATTTGAACAGTCTAATTTACTTGCATTTATATCAGTGACAAACATTCCTAAAGGAAGCTGTTGAATCCAAGTCTGTTTTAATTGAGGAAACTAAGAAAAATCAAGCAATTTTCCCCAAGTGAGAGCTATGCAGCAGTGGCTATGGCCTTCAGATGAGCCCCTCTTCCCCACACCCCGTGAGTGTCCAGTCCCCTGTGTCCTTTCTAAACACTTACCTGTGCACTAAAGAATCAGAAAGAGCACACAAAAACACCCATCAACAAACACTATGCTAAGGACAAATGAGGTTAGTCAACACCACACACACACACACACACACACACACACACACAACCATAACACACCACAAGTAAAATATTTTGACATAGTGTGATCACCTACAAATGATAACCATTATTTGCTGCCTCAAAACAGCCACTCTGATTTACAAACAGCTTATATTCTTAGATAAAGACTGATTGCTTGCTATAAAGCATTATCTCATCCCAACGGCTATTAGAAAAATAGAAGAGATTTTTTTTATGGGTGGAAATGCTTTTAATGGATATGCCATTGTTAACAGTTCTCAGACCCCTCCCCCTCATAAAACTTACCATGTGAAAATTACTAAAGAGGTGTTTGGTGTTTGGGCTCCCCCCCCCTTAAAAAAACAAAAAACAAACAAACAAACAAAAACCTAACCAGCAGGCTAGCATAAACCCTCTTGTCCCTAAACCCCAGTCCCATACACAAAGCCCTTTCCGGAACCCCCAGGGACAAGGCTGTCTGGCAGGCCCACAGTGGCTCTCAGGTGCACTCTCCTCCCCACTCCAACCCTAGTTAAAAGAACCGGGCTGAGGAAGATGAAAGCCCCAGTGAGCAGGGGCTGGCTTATGAGGTCTGCTGGGCCAGCTGCTGGAGCACCTACCCTCCCCCAAAGAGAACCTGGAAGTCTCTCCTTGCCCCAGGGCCTGAATCTCCCGGCTCCTCGGGGACTCCTTCAGAATGGATGGGGGAACTTTCACTGCCCGGCCACCTCCTCCCCCGTGTCATCCATTAAAACCCCAGCAAGCTCTTTGTTTCCAACAGCTGTGGGAGGGCAGGCAGCCTTGGAGAGAGGGGAGAGGTCACTCACTCCCTGGCTCCCCTGGCTGCCAATCTCCAGGCCGTCCTGCAAAACACACACAGCACCATTCTCTCGCTTTCCACACCACTTTAATTAACCCGGGGTTACACTAGCAACACAGGGCACTCTCTGAGACCTAATTACCTCTCATACCCAAATCCCACACAAGATGACTCCCTAGCTCCCTCCCTCCGTCAAACTGGGTTCACTACTGGACTCTCTGCCTCCTAAAGACGTACTCCAGAGTGGAGACCTGAGCCCCAGGCTTTGTCCATACACAACATACAAAACACTTCCTGGGTCCTCCTGGGACTCCCTACTGCCCAGATTCACAGTGGACAGCGCAAGCACCACTGCGCCCCTGAACCCAAAGGACAAACATAACCACTCCTTCCTTTTACCCATATGACCTCTCTGAGAACCCGGGTGCCCTAAGGAAGCACCCCCATCCACCCACCCACCCAACACATGGTCAGTCCTCAGGCCCTTATCCTCAGTCCCCCAGATCATCACCAACACACACACACACACACACACACACACACACACACACACACACACACACTCCCCTTGAAGCCTGGCCGTCCTCCCTCCCTCGAGGCTTCACAACACTTAACACGCGCTTCCACGAGCACACCCACGATCACTGCTCCGCCTGGCGGAGCCTCACCTGCTCACCACGCCGCAGGGGCCGCCCTCGTCCGGCCACTCGACACCCACGGACTCACGCACGGCCACTCCCCATCCCCAACGCAGGTCCCCAAGCCCGCACCACGAACTCGCGTCCTGCCCCGCAGCCCGGCTCCCGGGACTCCCCAGCACGCAGATCCACACCGGGTCCTCCCGCGGCCCAGAGCGGCGGAAGGGAGGAGCCCCAGGGGCGGGCGCCCGCCGCCCCTACCTGAGCAGTTGATGCTCTTGCCTCTGCCTCCGGGACAGTCCCCGCCACCGCCCGCGGGCTGGTTGGACGCGCGGCTCTCGGGCAGGCAGAAGGCGAAGAGCAGAAGCACCGACGTGTAGCCGCAGACGGCGAGCGGGGGCGCGGCCGGTAGCCGGAGCGGCGCCTGGGCGCCCATGCTGTCGCGGCCGCACGGCG